AAGGGGGTGAATATTTCAAATGTAAACGTGGTCGATGTTGCGCTTTCGGATCATTTTTGTGTATTTTTTGACATGTGTTTCACTAACAAACCACCAGTGGACTCTGCAACTGTACGAAGAAGACACATAAATTGAAAATACGGGTGAACTATTTATGGGAATGATAAACTTTGAGAATGCATCGTATTCTACTGTAGATGAACTGTTTAACTCTGTCACCTCTAGTGTTTTGAATGTTCTGGACACCATCGCTCCTGTGAAGGTTAAAACAGTGAAAAATAAGCAGAAGGCGCCGTGGGCTAAAGCAGACTCGGTCAGGGCACAAAAGAGAGAGTGCCGGAGGGCCGAGCGGAAGTGGCGCAAGTCCAACCTCCAGGTTGATTACGAGATCTTCAAAGATAAAGTTGTGCGAGTTTAACCAGGTGCTACGTAGTACGAGAGAAAGGTATTTTTCTGAAATGATTGAAGGCTGCAGCAACAATCTGGGTGTTCTGTTTTCAACAGTTAATAGATTAACAAACCCCCCTGTTCAGATGCCATTAGAGCTAAATTCCAAACGTAAATGTAATGAGTTTGCACATTTTTTCAATGACAAGGTTCAAGGCATCAAAAACGCCATTGTCTCCAATCCACAGATAACCATCCAACAGCCTAAAAGGCTCTTTGAGCTAACTTACTTTGCACCTGTAAATGATCAAACTGTCCAAGAGATAATCTCCAGTTTGAGCGCCTCCACATGCAGCCTGGATGTACTACCCACTAGATTTCTAAAGCCTGTTCTGAGCAGTCTGTTACCTTCACTCACACAGATAGTAAACATGTCCCTTCATTCTGGAATATTCCCAAAGGCCCTGAAAACTGCAGTCATCAGGCCCCTGCTTAAAAAGAGCAGTCTGGATGCTACGGTACTTAACAACTACCGTCCCATCTCAAATCTGCCATTTATGGGGAAAGTCCTTGAAAAAGTTGTCTACCAACAGCTAAATAGATTTCTTATAATCAACAACTCATTTGATATGTTTCAGTCCGGCTTTAGACCCCACCACAGCACTGAGACTGCTCTCGTCAAGGTTACAAACGATATCCGGCTAAACACTGACGCAGGCAAAGTCTCAATCCTAATCCTGTTAGATCTGAGTGCTGCCTTTGACACTGTCGACCATGAGATCCTCTTACAGAGACTAGAGGACTGGGTTGGCGTCGCTGGCACCGCCCTAAGTTGGTTTAGGTCTTACCTTGAGGACAGGAAGTACTTTGTGGAGATTGGAAACTGTGTCTCAGATCATATGGCCCTGACCTGTGGAGTACCACAGGGGTCGATCCTGGGACCTCTTCTTTTCAATCTCTACATGCTGCCGTTAGGTCAGTTAATACGCAGAAACGAAGTTTCCTATCATAACTATGCAGACGACACTCAGATCTATGTCTCACTGACTGCAGGAGAACATGGACCAGTGGACTCACTCCTTCACTGTATCCAACAGATCAGTGAGTGGATGCAAAACAACTTCCTTCAGCTAAACGCAGACAAAACTGAAATGATTGTCTTTGGTCCCCAGAAACAAAGAGAGAGCGTCATCAGTCATCTACAGTCTCTCTCCCTAAAACCTTCAAACAAGGTCAGAAATCAAGGGGTAATACTGGACTCAGACTTAAATTTTAATAGCCACATCAAATCAGTAACATCAGCAGCTTTTTACCATCTAAAAAACATTTCCAGGATCAAAAACATAGTGTCTAAAGCAGACCTGGAGATTCTTATCCATGCATTTGTCTCCAGTAGGTTAGACTACTGCAATGGCCTGCTCACAGGTCTGTCCAAACAGGCTGTAAAACAGCTGCAGTACATTCAAAATGCAGCAGCTCGAGTCCTGACTAGAACCAGGAAGTACGACCATATTAGTCCGGTCCTCAGGTCTCTGCACTGGCTTCCTGTGGCTCAGAGAATAGACTTTAAAACAGCTTTGCTTGTGTACAAGTCTCTCCATGGCCTCGCACCAAAATATATTAGTGACATGTTAGTCCCATATGAACCAGCCCGGACTCTGAGGAGCACTGGGACTGGACTCCTGTTAGTGCCCAGAGTCAGAACTAAACATGGGGAGGCTGCTTTTCAGATTCATGCTGCTAAAATCTGGAACAATCTTCCTGAAGATGTGAGACAGGCCTCCTCTCTGACTATGTTTAAAACCAAGTTAAAAACTGTGCTGTTTAGCTGTGCATACAACTGAGGGATTTTATATTTTTATCTTTCTTTTTAATGTTCTGTGATTATTTATGATTTTAATGCTATCTTGTTCAGCACTTTGAGTTGCCTTGTGTATGAATTGTGCTATACAAATAAACATGCCTTGCCTTGCCTTGCCAAGAAATATCACGGAAACGTAACTGTTGTCAACACAAATATTGGATGTTGTGCAAATTGTGTTTATAAAGAATACCCTCAAACTTTGTGATCAAACTGATGAGTGTGCGCTGGAGGTCCCTGTTTGAACATACACACACACACACAGACAAAACACACACACAGACAAAACACACACACAGACAAACACAGACACAAACACATACACACGCAAACAGACACACATACACGCACATACTCACACACACAAACACACACTCACATACGGACACACCCACACAAACACACTGACACAAACACGCACACAGCAACAAACACACAGACACAAACACACACAGCCACGCACACACAGACACACTCACACAAACACATATAAACACTCACACACAAACACGCACACACTCACACACACTAACACAAACACACACTCACACATACACGCACACACACACTCACACATACACACACGAGTAAACACTCACGCAAACTCACATACAGACACACACACACACACACACAGCCACACACACACACACAAACATACCCTCTTACCCTCTTCTCAGCACTTTGAACTGTCTTGTGTATGAATTGTGCTATATTAATAAACTTGCCTTGCCTTGCCTTACAAACGCACACACTCAAACACACTCACAGACACACTCACACAAACACACAGACACACACACAAACACACACACACACACGTCAAATTCAGTTATCTTTGCCAGGCTCACCGCGCCGCTGCATCCAGGCCATCAATATCCAGAGTCAAATCCATATTTCCCATTTTTACTTCTTCATTACTTCAGACACACAGGAACTATCTTTGGGACAGAATCTGGACCTCCCGGGCGCTAACCTTATAAAAAGCGCACAATCTCACACCATCTGTAAGTGACAATAGACACGGCTACATATAACTCCGGCCCAGATACTGCTGCGGCGGCGCCCGGTGTGCACTGGTCCGTAAAACATCCCCGGGGCCTACAGCACTTTCCCGACTTCAGCACTAATTTCACTGACCCTCAACACGAGAGAGTGGTGGGAAATTTGCCTCTGTCACAACACAACCCGCCTCATAAAACACACTTGGACTGGAGTCATTTGGCCGCAGCAGGTTGTGAGCGTGATTTGTCAAACCCAATTTCACAGCACGGTTCGCAAACACGTTTATGTCGGAGCAAAAGGAGCTGAAAGTGGACGAGGAACGCCACGAATACAACAGAATCTGCTCCAATTAAAGGTTTTTAGGAGGATTTTCCCAAGTTTTAGGAAAGAATAGCCCTCTCCTCTTTCTGAAAAACTCTACTTGATGATCCACCCGGGTGTGGAAAATACTCTTATGTACCTTTAATTGAGGATTGATGTTATAAATAGATACAAAATATGTTCAATCAGGTTAAAACTGAATGTTGTGTTAAATGTTATATGACAACAACGCGTTTTATTATCGTGCTGCTCTAGAGTCCCAGCATGAGAGTCCCTGTGCTCCTCAGCGTCCCAGCAGGAGAGTCCCTGTGCTCCTTAGAGTCCCAGCAGGAGGCTAGTCCCTGTGCTCCTCAGAGTCCCAGCAGGAGGCCAGTCCCTGTGCTCCTTAAAGTCCCAACAGGAGGAGAGTCCCTGTGCTCCTCTCCAGGCCCCGCTGAAGGCCAGTCCCTGTGTTCCTGAGAGTCCCAGAAGGAGGCCAGTACCTGTGCTTCTCAGAGTCCCAGCAAGAGGCCAGTCCCCGTGCTCCTCAGAGTCCCAGCAGGAGAGTCCCTGTGCTCCTTAGAGTCCCAGCAGGAGGAGAGTCCCTGTGCTCCTCAGAGTCCCAGCAGGAGGAGAGTCCCTGTGCTCCTCAGAGTCCCAGCATGAGAGTCCCTGTGCTCCTCAGAGTCCCAGCAGGAGAGTCCCTGTGCTCCTTAGAGTCCCAGCAGGAGGCTAGTCCCTGTGCTCCTCAGAGTCCCAGCAGGATAGTCCCTGTGCTCCTCTCCAGTCCCAGCGGAATGCCAGTCCCTGTGTTCCTGAGAGTCCCAGAAGGAGGCCAGTACCTGTGCTTCTCAGAGTCTGAGCAAGAGGCCAGTCCCTGTGCTCCTCAGAGTCCCAGCAGGAGAGTCCCTGTGCTCCTTAGAGTCCCAGCAGGAGGCCAGTCCCTGTGCTCCTCAGAGTCCCAGCAGCAGGCCAGTCCCTGTGCTCCTCAGAGTCCCAGCAAGAGGCCAGTCCCTGTGCTCCTCAGAGTCCCAGCAAGAGGCCAGTCCCTGTGCTCCTCAGAGTCCCAGCAGGAGGCCAGTCCCTGTGCTCCTCAGAGTCCCAGCAGGAGGCCAGTCCCTGTGCTCGTCAGATGGTCATATGTCACCAAGATGTCACAGTCAAACAGTCTATTAGCCTCAAGAATCCAGTATATAGACTTTTCCGGTATGTTTTAGACAAGAGACAGAGAGAGAGAGAAACCAACACTGAGAGGAGTTTCTTTCCTGTTACCATAAGACCAAAGTAATAAGGCTAAACCGGGCCTAACTCTGTCTCTGTTCTGTCTCTGTTTAATTATTGTTGTGTTGTTATTGTGTGTTCAGAATACTGTACTGAACATCTGCTGGAGACACACCATCATTTCACTGCATGTAATGTGTATGTGACAACAATAAACTAAACTAAACTAAACTTCCTCCTTACATTGCCGCCTCAGAGTAGGTGACAGAGACGTGTAGAGCAAACATCGGAGCGTCGGGTGACACCGGTTCCTCTGTCGCTCCGTCAGAAGAGCCCATGTGGCGTCGCGAGCGCAGCTAATGATCAGAGCCCCGTGTGAATCAGCCGCACAATGGGTGTCATCCGCAGTAATCACGGGACTCTGAGGTGTGTGACATGTCATGCGGCCAGACTGTGTCATGGCGTGGGTTTGCGAGCGGGGAGGCGCACGGCTGGAGACGGAGACATAAGCGCTAGACCTCATGCCGAGCCGGTGCGTCGCGTGAATGGCTAATGACGAACAAAGAACAAAGTGGGCGTTCCCATATGGGACAGGAAGTCGGCAGAGTGTGAGCTCGCACCCATCCATCTGCACCTCCCACTGCTTTGCTCCTGTGTTTTGTTCTAATGAGTTGGTTGATTTTGCCAAACTATAGTAGGACCTGAACCCTTTGTTTATGGATTCAGGTCCAAATATGTTGTAATTATGTGACAGCAAAGTACCTTGGATTATCTCATATCCCCGAACTCCATTCCACCATGTTGTACCTCTTTCCCTGTCAAGTATTTTTAAGGCTTTTTGTTCAGGGCTTTGAGTGTTTTTATAAATGTTTCTTTTTATTGGTATATTTGTCATGTAATACTCACTATGCAAAACATACAGAAGAAAAAAAAAACACATTTTAAACAACTTTTTTGGACGATACAGCTTTAAATGAGGCATGCAAAAATGTTAAAAAAGTGTTTTTGCGTTGATCTATAAACGCTGGGTTTTTAGATTGAGGGATAGAAAATATCCATACATGAACACAAGCACATTTTAAAACTCATCTGTTCAGATCAGAGTGTATTTACAGAATGTATTCATAATAAGAATAAAATCAGCCCAAGTACAGAGCCTTGGGGTACTCTTAAGAGGTGGAGGTTTTTGTTTGTCCAAATGTTTGTAATTGTTGCTTAGGTGCCACAGACAAATAATAATATAGTGAGACTAATTCACTTTCATCAAGGCAAGAATGATGACAAATAGTTTTATTACTATTATTCATTTATTGGTCCTGTGAAATTATTATGGATGTGTTTATGATGAGCCTCGTTGCGGCGTTCAACCCGTAGACTGTAAATATTAACAGAAGTAGTCATGTCTATCTTTGCCGTTGAAACTAATGTGCCACCACTTTTGCCTTCTATGGGCTTTTTAAAATGGCCACTGAGCAGGAAAATGTAAAAAAAAAATGTGTTAGCCGGCACTAGCCCCAATCATTTAATGAGTGCATTCTGAAGTCTACAGGGGCTAAACAAGACTGCTCCAAAAAACAAACAATCCCCTCAGCATTGACACACATGTGGAACGTAGCTTTGGGCCAAGAGCCAAATTTTGGACCATCCTGTAAAGACGTTTTCGAGAGGAAAAAAGACGCCGTACAAAAGCATTGGGTAGTTCTCTTTCCGGGAACACCCCCACCGGGTAGAAGTGGGATCACAGCATGTCAGCGGACGTACTCATGGACCTTTTTGGAGCCAAGACCCGCCCCCACTGGTTCAGCCATGACAGTAACAATGTAGAGAAACTGAAATGTGCCCCACAAACAAGAGATTCTTTATTGTTTAAGATCCTCAAGGATCTTAAACTAAAGTCTTTGCGAATTGCTTATAGCGATTTCATTTTAATGTCAAAATGTCTTGAAACTCATCTCATCTCACTTTTGCGTATAACAACTTTCAAAAAACTCCTCATTTTGCAGTTTCCCCGCTTAAGTCTCATTTTCAGATCCTTCGGCTGCAGAAATCCTTCATGCATCTTTTGTATCCTCATGAAGAAAATCTCGTCGTTCACGTGGGTCTCTCTCGTCTTCTCTGACACAAAAGAATCCTGTTCCATATTTTTTGGTTTAAAAGTTGTGTACCCCAGCTTTAATAGCTTCTGTTCAGGCTTGTGTTGTGCCATAACAACAGAATAACCAGGGGTCACATTGTAAAATACATTTGTTGGATTAACAATTATTTTAGATGTTTTAAAGTACCAATATGTACAATTTTCATGTCAAGTCCTCATTAAAGAGTCCTAATCTGTCAAAAGGCATTCATAAAACACGTTCTTTTCAAATACTTCTTTAACTGATCACAGTAGTTCAGAGATATTTGATTTTCAGAACTACTTTTCCAGCCCCTAAATCTTGTTATTGTTTTCATTTCGATGTCCCGCCCTCCACCGTTTTACTAATCAGAAAGTCTGTGATCTGGTTTGCTGGGTCACTGGAAAAGTACCATGTGGCCGCAGAACTAAAAAAGGTCTTGAAAAAGGTGTTGGTTATAGATTTGTTGTTGACGAACTCTTGTCTTTTCAGATACTATGGTCCCAGCTGGATTCGTCTGCATATCTGGCAACCTGAGTCAGGGAGAGTGGGAGAGGCTGCAGTACCACTTTTGGCCAGATTTTTTACATACTTCTCTTTCATTCATTGTTGGCAAGGACCATCAAATAATGTGCTTTTTCTGTGATTCTCACCATCAGCAGCATTCTAAAGTGGTGAATAAAGAAGTTTCTTGAGTGTAACTTTGATCACTTTGGGAATCAAGTTTGTGTAGCCTTCGATAAGAACGATGGCCGTGGGATTTTCTATGGACTATTGTGCTATTGTCTGAGTCGCCTCATCGCTCTCTGACCGGTGCGGCTCGATGAACGGCCGGAACTCCCTGTCAGACATGAATCGAAGAGGAAAATGTTAAATTGGTAAAATATTCTTTATATTATTGACTAAAGATAGAAACACTATTTTTAGTCAATAGACTTTAGATAGAAAGACAAAAAGTGACTGCAGTGCATACAAACTAATTAACACCTTTTACATCGTTGCCACCGTTCTATATATAACAAAGAAAAATGTTTTGAGCATATTTTCTAACATTTCTTGTTTTAGAGTGTTTTTTATACCGATAATAAACATACATTTTAGAGTGTATAAAAACACTCTAAAACAAGAAATGTTAGAAAATACGCTCAAAACATTTTTCTTTGTTATTTAGAATTAGCTGATTATCTGTTATACGAGATTGAAATGTACCCACTGAGGAACGAAGACAGAGTTTTCTTATCTTGACAAAAGAGATTCTTTGGATGGATGGATGGATGGATGGATGGTCGGATGGATAAATGGATGGATAGATGGATGGATGGATGGATGGTCAGATGGATGGATGGATGGTTGGAGGGTTGGATGGATGGATGGATGGTTGGATGGTTGGATGGATGGATGGAGGGTTGGATGGATGGATGGATGGTTGGATGGTTGGATGGATGGAGGGTTAGATGGATGGATGGATGGATGGATGGATGGTTGGATGGTTGGATGGATGGATGGAGGGTTGGATGGATGGATGGATGGTTGGATGGTTGGATGGATGGATGGAGGGTTGGATGGATGGATGGATGGTTGGATGGTTGGATGGATGGAGGGTTAGATGGATGGATGGATGGATGGATGGTTGGATGGTTGGATGGATGGATGGAGGGTTGGATGGATGGATGGATGGTTGGATGGATGGATGGTTGGATGGTTGGATGGATGGAGGGTTAGATGGATGGATGGATGGTTGGATGGAGGGTTGGAAGGTTGGATGGATGGATGGATGGTTGGATGGTTGGATGGATGGAGGGTTAGATGGATGGATGGATGGTTGGATGGAGGGTTGGAAGGTTGGATGATGGATGGATGGTTGGATGGTTGGATGGATGGAGGGTTAGATGGATGGATGGATGGATGGTTGGATGGAGGGTTGGAAGGTTGGATGGATGGATGGATGGTTGGAGGGTTGGATGGATGGATGGATGGTTGGATGGTTGGATGGATGGAGGGTTAGATGGATGGATGGATGGATGGTTGGATGGAGGGTTGGAAGGTTGGATGGGTGGATGGATAGATATGTAGATGGATAGGTAGAGGGGGTGTAGCCTCTGCTGCTCTATGTATTTGTCAAGATATATAAAATATATTGTATCCATATTCTTAACTTTTGTGAGTGATTGAGCTTGTTGGTGAGCACTGGTCTCTCATTTACGGAAAAGTATTTATTTATTTTTTATTATTTATTTGAAAAAGCATCCAATCATCACCGCAGACCCTTCACACCGGCGCACCCTGCTGGTACACTGATGCAATCCTCCAGCAGACCATAAACCTTCACGGTGTCTGTTTGACGAGAGGCCTGGTCCTTCAGTCGCATTACCATCTCTGTGTAAAGATAATATTCTTACAGCTCGAGCCATCATTCTCGTCGCAGCCATTATCTCTGCGCTCATAACGCAGCTGTGGGACGAGCCCAACGGAGAGGTTCAACTCCGGGTCAGAACTCAAACAATTCAAACGAAAGAGACGGCGGCTCCGTGGACACCTGTGATCCTCGGTACATCCCCACATGCATTACCGTGACTTATGCTTGTATGGAAAACATGTCACACTGAGCTCGTCCCTCTTCACCTTGACGAATACGTACAGTCACTTTTGCTTTTGACCTTTTGTGATTGATTTGGCGACAGACGAGAAAAGGTGATTCTGCTGAGAACAATGTGCGGTTGTGAAGGAGATTTATGGTCCATGGTGTGATCATTGAAATCGTTAGCTTGATGCTTAGAGACCCTGATCATGTATCGCTAGAGTTGGATCCTACGAAATCAAACAAAAAATGTCACTTGGAAATAGAAGTGAGTGAGTAAAGTTTATTTGTATAGCGCCTAGGATCACAAAGTGCTTCATATTTAAAACATCAAAACAACATTTAAAACAAATATATAATGCAGCTTTACAAAAACAAGTAAGTTGCTATAAGCTCTGATTCTAGTGGTTCATGATTTTATATGTTGAAGGGTTTATGCAATTAGAGCGATCATGTACGAATGATACAAAAGGTTATTGACAGGGACGATTAAAAGGTTTTTATTTTTAATTGTAGGGTTCCATCTGTGTTCTGAGAGGGATATGAAACGCTCAATCAGCTCAATGGAAAATAAAACCAACCAAACACATTCATCCATTTTGTTTTGATTTTTTCCCTCTATTAACTCATTGACTGCCAGCCGTTTTTGATTATTTCACTGACTTTCAAGACCCATAGATTATTTTGTGCTGTAACAATGAAAAATATGAAACCAGATTCTGAAAGATTGGACCATCTCCTTTCATCTACAAAAATACGTCGGTGTCTAGCTAGTATTGTTCTGCTGTAATCTTCAGTCAAATGGAGAGAAGTTTGACAGAAATCACCAGTCTCCGCCAAATACGTCCGTGGCAGTCAATAAATTAAGTCTAATTCAAATGATTTTGTAAAGCTTTAAATCACAACAGGGTTTAGATCAGAGAAACAGACACTACTATCACAATCCCATACGGTCAAGGTGTGAATATTGTGTTTGATTTTGACATGGGCTCTCCTCTGGTTTAGTTTTAGTTTCAGTTTTAGTTTTACTTCCTAACCCGTTCCCCTGTGGATTGTCTGCCCCAACCAGTGTCTCTGTCAACTGTATTTTCCGGACTATAAACCGCACTGGATTATAAACTGCAAGCTTCAATTTTTAGAAAGTAATTGAATTTTGTACTTTCACAAGCTGCACCCGTCCCACATTGTAGAACTGAAAAATTTAGCTCCAAAATATTCATCACATCTTTTTGCTGTGAGTAATTAGAGTAAGAGTAAGAAGTGAGTCTCTATCTTGTCTTGATCTTCTGTGTGAAGCAGAATGGAACAAAAAAAAACAAACTTCTTATTATGAGATATTTACACAAATATATTATAAGTGAGGAACATTGTTTAATCTGTTTGATTAACCAAACTTACATTAATTGGACTTTGAAATACTCATTCATTCTGTTGGTCTGCTGTTCGTTGGAAAATGTTTTTAGCGCCACAGAGAAAAAAACCAAACAGCCGCACCTGACTATAAGCCGCAGCCTCCAAAATGCAGGAGAAAAAGCTGCGGCTTCGAGTCTGAAAAATACAGTATGTGAACCATGTGCACCTTTTGTTTATTATCTCATTAAATCGGTTTTATGTAGCGCTGCAGACACTTCACAGTTCAGGACACACAAAACTAAAAATGTAAAAATAGGATTGAAGAGGGCAATGCTGTCACTAAGAGAGTTACTCTGAGTTTTCCGAGTAGGAGCAGAGATGGCCAACGCTCGGTCCCTCAATTTCAAAACATCAGATAGAAACAAATTATTGATAAAACACTAAATCAAAATATGGAAAACACAATAACAACCACCACATCATTTGTTGGTTTAGTTTACTTGGAAGAATCTTTTTTTTTCCTTTTTAAACCACTCACTGCTTCAACGTCCTTCAGTCGTATCCTTGAGCAAAGACCTCCACTTGTTTACGCCACAGACAACTGTCAATTCCAGTTGTATCCGACACATAAAGCTTTGACTATTATTATCCTCTTAGCAGCAGATCAAAACTAATTTATTCCACAATGCACTGAGATGTGTTTTGTCTGTTACACCAGCCATTCTTCTCCCCTCCACAGTAAATGGAATGCATAACCGCTCTCAGTTATGCATATCTTTTCACCTGTCACACATAAAGACATTTGATTTTTATTCATGGCCAGCTTTGACATGTGTTTTCCGTAACGCAGACAACGAGGCTTTGAAGATAACCAAAAGCAATCAACATTCGGCCTGGGCTTGTCAAGAGCTGAATGATTTATGTGCGATGTGGGGTTGCCTTCTCGCCCGTCAGTCTCCCGGTGAAGCTGGGGTGAGGCGAGAAGGAAGGAAGGGGAAGGCCTGGCAAAGTTTAAAGAAATTTAAAAAACTATAGCCAGTGTCACCTTGTCACTGCCGGGCGCGGTGCCAATGTGCCGTAGGGTGCTGGAAGAGGGGTGGGCAGAGGGGTGGGTGTCTGCTGTGATGGATCATTGTGCAGGAAAAGATACTCCCCCTTCCCCTCCCAGAGTGTCCCCCGGTCCAGCCCCTGCCTCTGCCCATCACTAACGCTGTAATTATCGAGCCGCTGCGTGGGACAGATGCTACGACAGCGCGGCGAGGTTGCAGGGGCGCAGATGTTTAAGAATATTTAAGGACAGGACTTCTCTGCGTCCCAGGATACAGAGCTTCTGCGGAAGGAACTCTGTTTATTTGACAAAAGGCACATTTTGTTTGGGCGATGAAGGCTCTTTTAATTCAAGATTTAATCAGTTTTTGTCATTGCCACAAAAACAACAAAAGAAAAATTGTCTTCACCAGCCCAGGTCTAAACTCTGGGAGACCGGGACTTCCAGGTCGCAGCTCCACGTCTCTGGAACGCCCTCCCAGGAGAGGCCTAAAATCCTTCCTTTTTTAATCAGGCCTATTTGGGATTTTATTAGTTTTTAACCCTTCATGTATCGTTTTGATATATTTATGCTTATATATACTTATGATTATTTTGCTTTGTTTGGTTGTTTGTGGTTTTGTATTTTAATCTGTAGCACTTTGAGGTTTTCTGGAAATGTAGGGTGCATTATAAATGTTATGTGTCATTATTATTATTATAGAGCCTAAAAAGTGCAGAAGTTGGCAGTAATAAGACAGAAAAGTAGAAAAAGCTTGTACTGCCTAATGACCACATGTTTCGTAAATTTCCGCCTTCATCAATTGTTTTTGCCGGATGCGACCTGTCTAAAGGCCTGTGTACACGGTTGCAGTTACGTTGGACCTACGTAACCACAGTTGGTGGTACACTAGCGCGTTCCCCTTACAGAGTTTTGAGGAGAATATTGTAATCCCACAAAAAACCACATGATGGCGATCTCACAGGAGTTGCCAAAGCGGTCCCAATTACGCTGCTACTGTCTCCTCTTCAGAACAAAACAATAGCAAACCAAGCTGTTTGAGATCATTACATGTGTTTCTACTGTAGGTTTATCTGATAGTTTTATGGACTCTTTATCTCATTGGTCATTTCAACTGTGACGCTGTGAATGAAGACACCATTCTTGTTGGAAACATAGTTATTATCAAAGTGTATTCAGCACAAACAGCAAAACAATAATGGGAAATATCTGAGGCAAACATGAACAATTTACAAGTGCAGGAGGAATGGAACAGATGCGATAAGCTACGATTTAAACAAGACAGGAACAGTGCAACAAACGACTGCACAGTTTATAAGTAAGTAAGTAATGTTTATTTATATACCGCCTTTCACAGACCAGAGTCACAAAGCGGTTTAAAATTGTTATTTTTGGGGCATTTGTCCTCTCACTCCACACAGAGATGGGAGCGGGGTCGCCAGTACAGGAGTCGCATGGCAGAGCTATTGAACATGTTTTTAGTGGTAGGGGAAACCGGAGTACCCGGAGGAAACCTATGCAGACACGGGGAGAACTCGACTCAGCCCTGGTCCGGCCGGGATTCTGATAATGCTGTTTCAACCACAGTTGAACCTGATGAAATCTCACACAACAAAGAGACAAAGTTAATCTTTTACTTGTTACATTGTACAAGGAGAATGTCTTGACAGAGGCAAGGCACAGACCCTAGCCTCTCTCAGGACAAGTCTGAAGATTCACAGATGGCAAGCCTCTTTTGGTAGAGCAAGACACACCTTCGTATGCAGATGGGAAAGGAAGAAACCAACACAACAAAAGGACAGTGAGACATTAGCATCCTCAAAACCTGCTTCCTCCTGGCATCTGCATACAACCCCCAAGCACTCTGAAGTCAACAGTGGATTACAATACAGACAGTATAGAATTCAGCCACAAATTATTTAGCAAAGTGATAACTAAGTTACCTTCCAATATCAGATTCGAACCCAGGACCTTCTTGCTGAGAGTGCTATCCACTCAGCCACCGTGCCGCATAGTTAGCTACTGTATATGTTAGATGGTCCACAGTCTCCTGTATATCAGGCTCTGCTATGAGTCCAAACTGCTTTTCCTTTGGTTTCTTCGAAGCACAAAGCACTCTGCTCGTTATTATAATAAATCCATGAGTCTGCTCCGAAGTGCCTCGTCCAGTGTCCCTGCAGCCACTTCCACCCAAAATACACACACGGACCAATCACAGCGGAGCTTCCTTGCGGAATCAGACTGATTCGCCCCCTCTGACTGACCCTGCCCCCTCAGACTGACCACGCCCCCTCTGACTGACCACGCCTGCTCAGACTGACCACGCCCCCTCAGACTGACCACGCCCCCTCAGACTGACCCCGCCCCCGCCGTGCTGTGGCCTCTGGAGAAGTGAGTCCCAAGGTGAAGCCCCCTCGTCTCTGTTGATGGTCCGTAAGTCCTGCTTCCTGGTTTCAATCCCCTCTCGTCTCCTTCTTCGAAAGTTTTGAAATCTACTTTAATCTAATTATTTTCACGCTTTGGCTTTTAACACCAACTGAGTTTTACCATTTTACTTTTTACTTGTATGTGTATGTATTTATGTTGTTTTCTTTCTTTTTTTATCTTTGGTGTTTGTGAAGCACTTTGAGCAGCTGGTGTAAATGTGCTATACAAATAAAATTGACATTGACATAATAATAAATGATTATAATAAATAGATAAATGTTTCTTTCATCAGCTTGTTCTCTGCTGCTCTTGTTATTTCCATGAGATTTTCTGCTAAATGATACAATATTATGTTTGATTTCAGTAAAATTGTAGCTTTTCATATTTTGTTCCGTTTCTCTTCGTGGCTTAAAGAAGGTTTTGTGTTTAGAGTTTGATGCAAAAGTTTCTTGGAGCCTGTTTTTTTCAAACTAATAAAACCAAAATCAATCCCAAGAATACTGAGAAAACATTGGGTTTAGATAAAAGTCGGAACCAGAGCAGGTTAAAAAAACACATTATTCATTTGACCTTTTGTTTCTCCATCAATTTTTCCAAATCATTCAGACTTTTCACAGCAGCACAAAACTCACACACACCGACACAAGCACATACATATAACACACACAAACACACATACAACCCACATGCACTCACACACACACACACACACACACATACAACCCACACACACACACACACATACAACCCACACATAAACACGCAACCCACACGCATTCACACACGTAATCGCATACACACACATGAACACACAAACAGACACACACTCACACACATACACACACACATGCACACACACACAATCCACATGCACTCACACACATAAACGGACACACACACATAAACACACTCACACACATAAGCGCACACACAAACACACGCACACAGACACACACACACTCACTCACACGCACACATAAAATACACGCACACACACACACACACACGCACTCACACACACAAACACACGCACACCCACACGCACACCCATACCCACACACGCACACACACACAAACACACACACATACACACACTCACACACACCCACACCCACACGATCACAATACCTTTTAGCACGTAAACATCAGAGTTGTGTTTACGTGAATAGTGAATAATGTTTATCTACGCAGCACACTTCAGACTTTTTTGTGTTGCTTTAATGTGTTGAGTTGAAAAACACACATTTGAGTCTAAAACAGTTTCATTGACAGAATGGTTCTGTGAGTTGTGTGATCCTCTGAGCTTTTGCTTTTATATTTTTAATTTCTCGTTTAGTGATTGTTGAAATACAAATATTTTTTTCAACAATTTGTTTGAAATAGCTATTTGAACAATGTCGTTTTAATAACATGTGCCATACAAATAAAGTAGATTGGATAGATATTGGTTTTGAATGTGAAGAATTGAATTAAAAAACAGGATAAACAAAAATGCCATGTATTAAACCCATTGTTATTCAGAGTTCTGCATGGCTCTGTTTTAGAAGGAAGTATTTATGTGTATTTTGTTGCTCTGATATCAGCGACAGTAAGCCCCGCCCCCTCCCTCTCCACTCGCTTATCGGCGTCACAGCTGCTCCTTCTCAGCTCTTTATCCACTGCGCTCTCTCTCTTCACGTCACGACCACTCACCCGCCATCCAGGCCCGAGCCGAGGTAGACGCCGCCACGATCAGGGCCACATGCTGGTGGCAGTGCTGTGAAAATGCGTTAGCCGGCACTAGACCCATTAATTTAACAAGTGCATTCTGAAGTCCACAGCGGTTAAACTAAAGTGGTCCAAGAAAAAAAAAAAAACCTCCTCCTCTCAGAATTGACAAAATGTGGAACATAGCTTTGGACCAAGGGGCATTTTTGGACCATCCTGTAAAGAGTTTTTTGAGAGGAAAGAAGACGCCATTCAAAAGCATTGGGTAATTCTCTTTCCGGGTACACCCCCCTAGCCTGACTCTGGCCAGACCCATGTTGTTCGCTGCACTTCACACATGAGTCTGGTACTGAGCCTAGTGGGATTTCAGAAGGCAGGGCCTTGTAAACAAATCCTTGTATGTGATTGGATAGACCACTTGTCCGTTATCTTGAATGAAGTCTGCTTTCAACCACTCACATCGAAGCACACGGCTCCCATAGGTTGCCAAATCCCAGCAAGATTTTCCAAACCAAAATCCGCGAGAATACCCACAAAAAACAACACTCAGAATGATTTTTTTTGCTAAAAACGTAATGTAATCAACTTGGGCTAAAATGATTGTGTTTATTGTCTTTCTGTTTATTTAATACCTACAAGTCTCTTGGAAAAAACTATGAGGGAACCACCAAACCTGGCAACCCTGCTGCATAGTGTGTAAACAGGAACACTGAACCAGTGCTTCAACCAAACTTTACAGGAACATTTGACTCTTAAAACACACATATATCAACATAGAACCATCTACATCTCGCCTCAAATTGCATTAAAAGTGACATCCGTGTCTTAATTCGATCGTATTTACTCTTTTAAAAAGATTCGCGGACTTTACGTCCGCCATCTTGGATTCCTCTCGCTGCTGCATGAGAGAAGCTTGAGAAGGCAGTGCAAACCCCACGTAACACCGTCAATCTTGATTGGTCGATTAAAAAATAATCTGGGGAAGGCGTTCGCTATGGCGTCGATACCAGACCCATGTGGTTCAGCCAAACGCCTCTGGTGGAACATGGCGGAACTGCAATGGTCTGGCAGAGCCAGGCTAACACCCCCCCGCCTGGATTGAGATTGCGTGGGGTTTCGTGATGATGTTGTAGTGGAGTATGATGCAGGCACTGAACCTATTTGCTTCTTATTTGCATAATTCACAAAACAAGGTATCTTCTTTCTATTGTCTTGTTTCTTTTTGTGACGCTAATTAGACATTTGACGTACACTTTCTGAAATAATGTCATTTTTGTGTGTAGTTTGAGCATGGTGTTGAGGCATGTGTGTAAACAAAGCCTTAATTAGCCTTAACGTACGCCTTAATTAACAAAAGCATTTCCCATACAACATTATTCTGACTCATGAGCTGTTAAAGCGTTAGAACTAGAAACATTTCATTTATCATACATCAGTCTGTAGAAATTCGACACCAAGGAGACGGGCGTTCATAGGCTTTTCTTTAATTATATGTCTTACTGCAGTATTTTGTTTAATTAAAAAGAAAGCGACATTAAAAATTCCATCCGCACATTCGGTTCTTAATAAACCTTAGTTAAATTACATCAGGGAGAGCAAACTTTCTCTACTTCTTTTATTCCTCCACAAGGTCAGTGAACTCGGCTGCAATGCTAATTATGACCTGCGGGGGGCTGCGGTTCTCGGTGGACCGGGAACCTGCCTTCACCTCTGCAGCTCTGAAGCAGGTGTGCCGGTCACGCATGCACGCAGACTAATGTGTGTGTGTTTTAGGTCTTTGCGATCGCCGCTGACCCCTGGTGGCTCATCACAGGGATAATTGTGGTTAAACTCTTCTAAAGACAGCGCCCGTGGCCGTCTGGTCTCCGTGGAATGCTTTAATTCATTCCAGAGAAAAACATGAGAAAGAACACAATTGAAGATTAATGAGTTTTCCCCACGGCTTTGGAGCAGCAGAGTAATCTTGGATCTAAAATTGTGTTTGAAATCGTTTATTGTGTTGGTCTGAAGATACAATGAGATGCCGGTAAATGACAATGTATTTCATTTGAAACAATAATTTATATTTTTGTCCACCTTAACCCTTTAGGCGCCAGAGGTTTTTTCCTAAGAGGCTCAATTTTGACATCTTAATTTCTTAATAACTTAAAACTGATAAAAGATTTGAAGGCTTTGTGTAAATTATAGAAATGATAAGGATGGCCCAAAGAAGTTTATATAGTAATTTAGATGGGTACATGTATTTGCTTTTTATGACGTAATACGGCAAATAGATAGATACTTTATTGATCCCCGTAGGAGAAATTCAGGTGTCCAGTAGCAGCAACAACAAAAAATTATGATTAAAAAAATAAAAATAAAATATCTATCCAAAGTAGCTCTGGTTCAAAGTAAAATGCTAAATCCTTCATTAGCATTTTTCTAAAAGTTAGCATTCCTCCAGTGGATTATAACCTGATCCGCTCGGTTCAGACCATGAATCCTCTCAGCTCTGGTCCGGACCAGTGCAAAACCATGAACACTGAACTGCAGCAACATCTCAGGAAGACAAAAGCAATAAAAATTAAAGCCGCAAGCGGCGTCGAACGGCCCTCGCCGCACCGCGCGCACCACCCCGCACCGCGAGCACCACCCCGCACCAAGCCACCCCGCACCAAGCCGCCCCGCACCAAGCCGCCCCGAACCACGCCGCCCCGAACCACGCCGCCCCGAACCACGCCGCCCCGCACCACGCCGCCCCGAATTAAGCCACCCCACACCAAGCCGTCCCGAATTAAGCCACCCCGCATCAAGCCGCCCCGCATCAAGCCGCCCCGCACCAAGCCGCCCCGCACCAAGCCGCCCCGAACCACGCCGCCCCCGCACCACGCCGCCCCGCACCACGCCGCCCCGCACCACGCCGCCCCGCACCACGCCGCCCCGCACCACGCCACCCCGCACTAAGCCGCCCCGCACCAAGCGGATCTGCACCACGCCGCCCCGCACCAAGCGGATCTGCACCGCGCCGCCCCGCACCAAGCGGATCTGCACCGCGCCGCCCCGCACCAAGCGGATCTGCACCACGCCGCCCCGCACCAAGCGGATCTGCACCGCGCCGCCCCGCACCAAGCGGATCTGCACCGCGCCGCCCCGCACCGCGCCGCACCAAGCCGCAACACGCCGCTCCACAACCCCCCGCACCACACCGTACCACGCAGCACCGTGCAATGGAGGTGGGGCCGCCGTGTGATGATTTGTTGCTGTTGCCATAGAAGAACGTTAGTCAAATTGTAATGAATATGATGATTAGAGCTGTTTGGCACCCCATGTGAAACTTTGCCTCAATCTGTAGGGGGCGCTATTGGGCCAATTTCAAATATTTCACTTTCACCTGACCTAAACCCTGGAGTTGAACAATGGATTCAAGTTTTGTGCAAATCAGACTTTGTTTGTGCAAACGGGAGAAAAATTAATGTTGTGAAAAACGGCCAATAAACACTCACATTTTGCCACTCCGCTGCTCAAACAAAGTTTCGCTGATCAAAAATCCCTGAGGTCATTTTGATGGTACATATGTTTAGACAATGTGGAGTGATATGGAGGCCAATCGGGGAAACGGCCGAGGAGGAGTCGCTTTCCAACCGACATGTATGAAAATGATTGCGGATAATTTTTCCATTTTGCAGTGACATTTATGGGCCTCCTGTTTGTCAGAGGGCGGAGCCATAACAACATTTCGGTCGTATCTTGACTTGAGGAACATGTGTACCGAATTCCATGGCTTTACGACAAACTTGACCTCTGAAACTCCCATTGGCTGTTGTAGGTGGCGCTGTTCTGGCATTTTTTGAGTCCCATAAAAATAAACACCCAAATATCAAATTTTTCACCAGGTCTGATGTTTGGGCAAAATGTTACAACTTTTCATGCATGTTCAAGGGGTGAAATTAAGGCTCAAAGTGCAGAATTTGACATCTCTCGAGCAAAAACAATAGGCCCTTTCCCTTTCCGATAACAATTGTAAAACACAAAACAACAACATTCAGAGCGACTAAGGACCTGCTGTCGTTTCCAGCGCTTTCAAAAGTAAAGTTGGTGTTTTGCAGAGACTGTTGTTGTGACTGTGAAACACGATCACGGAGCAGAACCAGACAGAAACGTGGAGATGCACAGATTCAGGCTCAGCTTTGTTCTTCCCTCATCACAACAAAAATCAGCCGCAACACAAACAAGTTTCAAGATTCCCGCTTTATTTCAGGACGATCTTTTGTAAACAGAGTGTCACAGATTTTATACGTTACAGCGTTCAATCTGAAACCAGGTCACGCCTGGGCTCAATCCCAGGGCCCCGCTTTGAAACTAGATGTGTAGACAAAGTAGTGTAGACAAAGTAGTGTAGATGTGTAGACAAAGTAGTGTAGATGTGTAGACAAAGTAGTGTAGAAAAAGTAGTGTAGATGTGTAGACAAAGTTGTGTAGATGTGTAGACAAAGTAGTGTAGATGTGTAGACAAAGTAGTGTAGACAAAGTAGTGTAGATGTGTAGACAAAGTTGTGTAGATGTGTAGACAAAGTAGTGTAGAAAAAGTAGTGTAGATGTGTAGACAAAGTTGTGTAGATGTGTAGACAAAGTAGTGTAGATGTGTAGACAAAGTAGTGTAGACAAAGTAGTGTAGATGTGTAGACAAAGTAGTGTAGACAAAGTAGTGTAGATTTGTAGACAAAGTTGTGTAGATGTGTAGACAAAGTAGTGTAGATGTGTAGACAAAGTAGTGTAGATGTGTAGACAAAGTAGTGTAGATGTGTAGACAAAGTAGTGTAGATGTGTAGACAAAGTAGTGTAGATGTGTAGACAAAGTAGTGTAGATGTGTAGACAAAGTAGTGTAGACAAAGTAGTGTAGATGTGTAGACAAAGTAGTGTAGACAAAGTAGTGTAGATTTGTAGACAAAGTTGTGTAGATGTGTAGACAAAGTAGTGTAGATGTGTAGACAAAGTAGTGTAGACAAAGTAGTGTAGATTTGTAGACAAAGTTGTGTAGATGTGTAGACAAAGTAGTGTAGATGTGTAGACAAAGTAGTGTAGATGTGTAAACAAAGTTGTGTAGATGTGTAGACAAAGTAGTGTAGATGTGTAGACAAAGTTGTGTAGATGTGTAGACAAAGTAGTGTAGACAAAGTAGTGTAGATGTGTATCACAAAGTAGTGCAGATGTGTAGACAAAGTAGTGCAGATGTGTAGACAAAGTAGTGTAGATGTGTATCACAAAGTAGTGCAGATGTGTAGACAAAGTAGTGTAGATGTGTAGACAAAGTAGTGTAGATGTGTAGACAAAGTAGTGTAGATGTGTAGACAAAGTAGTGTAGACAAAGTAGTGTAGATGTGTAATACAATACAATACAATTTATTCTTGTACAGCCCTAGGTCACAACAGAAGTCATCTCAGAGACTTAACAAAACCATTGAAATCACCAACACAGGTCAGAGAATCAACAGTTAAAACACATGGAGAATATAAAGCACACACAGAAGAAAATGTCCATACATGTTGTAGAATGCTAAAGTGTCCTGATCATCACCAATCCTTTCTGTTGGACACTAACTGTCCAACAAGACCCTCCTGCATCGACAAGGAAAAACTCTTAAAAAACCCAGTGGGAAAAAGTGAGAAACCTTGGGGAGAACTAGGGAAACCCACAGGGAGGGAGACCCATATGAGAAAGGGATCCGCTCCTCCGGACGGACAGACTAATGATCTAGGACCTAAGCTAGCTACAGAACGTGGACCAGTGGACGCTGAACGTGGACAGGTCCGGTGCAGGACCGAAGCACTCCCAGGTGGGTCGGGCGGGGCAGTCCGCAGGTGTAGATGGAAGAGGCCAGGCTCAGAGATCCCGTCATCGTACCATGAAACAGACAATGGGACAACGGGTGAATAGCAATGAACAAACTACAGTCAAAATCCTAAAAACGCTAAACAGATAAAGTAGGAAGGAGGAGAGGATAGTGCTCAAGTTACCATACTTCTCCCAGCAAACTGACTCTCTATGCAGCTTGACTAACACTCTGAGGAGTTTAACCTTCTCCGAGTCTTACCTTCCTAGCCATATGCTAAACTAAAGAGGACTGTTTTAAACCTAGCCTTGAATAAAGAGAGCGTATCTGAAAGGAGGTGAGACAGCAGCAGCCACGGCTAGGCTAGCCCAGGCTACAGCACCAAGATTCATGGATTGCACACCAGGTGTGCAAACCTAATTATATATTATATATCATATACATCATATATACCATACATACCATATATATCATATATAATACACAACATAACATACAGCATAATATATAACATAATATACAACATAAAACAATACATATATTGTATAATATATAACATAATATATAACATAATACAGCATATATATATAATATATACAACATATATTATATATGACCTAATTATATGCTAAATTAAAGTAGAGTGCTTTAAGCCTGGCCTTGAATGTGGAGACCGTATCTGCTTCCTTAACATAAATGAAGCTGATTTCACAGTAAAGGAGCTTGGAGCTAAATGCTCTGCCACCAACAGTGACCTTTGAGACCTTAGGAACCACCAGACGTCTGGCGTTTTGTGAGCGCAACGCTCGACTTGGTTGATACGACACTAACGTGTCTTGGAGATAAGAAGGAGCCAAGCCATTTATGGCTTTATATGTTAAGAGAAGGATTTTAAACTTTATTCTGTACTCCACAGGGAGCCAGTGGAGTGATTTTAACACCGGAG